CTGCTTCATTTCGGAAGATTAACTTTTCCCTTCTTTATTCTTCTAACTCGAGAATGCGGCGACACATACCTGGGGTTACGCCGCCTAAACGGTGCAGTGAAGTACAGTTTGAAAGGCTGTGTAGTCTTAAATAAGTTATAAAGTCTTAAATGACTGTAAAGAGTTGGGAGAAAATCGGATGTGTGTCAGATCCGCGTTATATGCATCAGGTTTTTAAAGAGACAGCGCTGATTTTAAAGTGAACCCCGCTGAAGTCTGTCATTGATAAAATATTTAGTCATTGTAGTAATAATAACTGCCTGTTTTTGCAAAAAATTTTGGCCAGTAAATTTTATCATGTCACCGGCCATTGGCAGGTGTGGCAAAAAGTTAGTTTTAGGCCCTGCTTTCATGCCACTGTAATAGGCCTTTATCACATTCCGTGTGTCGTCACATCCGGCTCCGGTTAGTAGCGTAAAGACATTTCCACCTGCATGATTGTCAATGGACAGACGCCAGTTTTGTAAAGAAAATTAAACTTAGTTGGACTTAGCAATAAACGTCAATATTTAAAACAGTTTATTTATACTGGTTCCCTACCATGCATGTCATGACTCATGAGATTAATGAATAGCAGCACTGCTCAGGTTACTCTCAGAGGAAGAATCTGACTGATTTAAACTTATTTTTTATATTATTTTGCTTATTCTTGCATTATATATATTGTGATTAACCTGCCGTTTTTGTATAATGCTATTCAATCATTGCACTCAATCGCAGGATATTATTGCAGGATATGACTTGTTTATGATGGTCAGTCTAGTTATTTTTGAACAACTTTAGCTTGATGTAATTATTAGGGATGTAACGATTCACTCAAGTCACGATTCGATTCACGGTTTTGATTTCACGATTTGATTTGATTCACAATTTTTTTAACAACATTAGATTTAGGACAAATTATATAAAAAAAATGTGTTCTTTTATTATTGCTTGGACAAAATGCTGCACATTTCTTTGTGAAGATTTCGAAATTTGAAGCAAAAACAGAATGGTTTGACTTTTTTGTGAAACTATACATAAAAAATATCTGCATGAAACAGCGGACGAGCTGAATGAGACGCAGATTCACTCTCTGCCAGCAGGTGGCGCTTAAAGCGTTTCCTTGGTTTCCGCTGTAAACAAAGCTGCT